CTAAAAATTTATCCATAATTTGTAATTAGTTCAAATTTTTTTTTAAATAAAAATTAGATGATCTGAAATGATAATTTTATAGTTCAGAATTTATGCGGGATTTTGTACACAACTGTGCGGGATTGTGCAAAAATTTACAATTGTGCGGGATTTGTACGCAGTGCAGATTTGCGCATATATTAAAAAGTATTATGTGCAAAATTATTAGTCATGTGCAAGCGCACTGCTAAAATTACACACTGTAGGCATCATAAATTTGTTGATTTTTAGGAATCGCTCTTCATCTACACTTGCACATTTCCAATTCTGCTTTTACAAGGAAGACATTAGAGTAAGCCGATCAATTTCTCTAATTAGCATATTATATCAGAATAATCCATACCAACTTTCCCTTTACGTTTATGAGTGCTGTATCAACAAGACCAGCAGATCTATGGATAATTTTGTAAGCTATTTTTGTCTATGATTAAGAATGACTTCAGTAAAGAATAGTTATAATATAATATTTAACAAGAAATAAACTTCGGCATGATCAATCAATATTTCATTCTCAACTTGTTGCCAAAATATGTTGATGTCCTTATATTTTGTTCGATGCCCTAATGTTAAAGGAAATAAATATTAATAAATGTTATCAAGAGAGCTGTTAATGATTATAAGCATAAACTACTGGCAGAGAGATCACAACAGGACAACTGTAAAGTCAAGCATCCAGCCTGACTATAGTTATGTGAATATGTACTCCTTTTCGGAACTGCAAATAAAGGATCCAACCTCCACAAAGAGGTTAATAAAACCAAATTATGAAATATGACGGGACCACCGTAAAGTCAGGCGTCCAACCCGACTGTAGTCATGGAAGTATATTATCCCTTCTCAGGACTTCAGCAGGACCTTCACATCTTTCTGATTCATGGTATCAAAGAAAGGAAAAGAGAAAGCACTTGCTTCAAAACAATTTTGTACTGACCGATAGCCTTTTTGATCTCAGGCGTACCCTTCTGAGCAAATGATACTAAGCAACGCAAGAGTTTATCAGACACTTCTCAGAAAGAATACGTAAAATTGTCTTGCTTCTGGCAGTGCCAATAATAGTCTAGGAATTTATACTTATCCAGTGAGGTTTGTTCAAAATAATCCATTGCTGGAAATGCCTTGGAAATACATAAAAATGCCAAACACGTAGACTTTCATAATCTGCACACATTACGATCATATGATATAGAATTCTACCTACTGCGCCAATTAGAGGCCTCCTCAAAAAATTGATTGATCAGCTTTTTTAATCAGTTACACTATAATTGTAACCAATGAAAATCAGCTTGATACGATCAACTGAAAACTGATTTTTATGAACTACCAAAAACGTAGATTGTTCTGGTATTGTAATTTTCTTAACGTGTCTTTTTCTTACTATCCTTATTATTATACGGCTTTTTGCAAATCAAATGATTTTTCAGATACATTGAAAATCAGAGGAGCAAATAAAATATATAATGCTATCAAAGAAGGAGGATCCTAGGCCATTTAATGCGAGTTCCAGCACTAAGTTATTTATTTGCTCTCACATTTTCAGAGAATATTGTATTTATAATTAACAAAATTATTTACGCCTATCTATTTTTCTAACTACACCCCATAATCTTTCTCTATATTAGAATTTTGAAATAAATTATACCACTTATATCTACAGAATTTTCGTCTATCCCACCCACAGATTATGTAATAGATCATTTCTAGCAAGAGAACTTTTCCGAGATGAAATAATTTCAAATATGTATGAAGAAATCTGAGATTAACAACGCGGTAAAAGAAATAAAACAAGTTGAGGCTTCTGATTCACACTTACTGTTATACTTCATTTTTACAACATTCCATTCCTCCTTACATTCAAAAAAATTTGTTAGTTAATGCATTATAATAAGGTATTTTGATTTTTTTTATTGCTAGAACAATATTACGCCAAGCATCAAGAATTCAAATGCCATTGCCGAAAAATTTTATTTAATATATTGTGCACTGTAACTCAGCATATGACAAAAATCTGGTAACAGAAATTAATACTGTGCTAATTAGGCACATGACAATGATCACGATTTTCTCAGCGAATATCAAATGAACGGAAAGAATCATGAAAGGTAATATGTCTGCTTTATTTTCAAGCATCTATAGAGCTGGGAAAAATGATTAGCATCATAATAGCGATTTTCTAAAATCAAGCCAAGAAATCAAATAAACTAATTTTACTATTACTTTACGATTTGATTGATTGTTGATATTGTTGAGGTTAATAGTGGTAAATTTGAATATTTGTTTTGATTTTTTTTGCTTTACTTGCACAAGGCGGATAAAAAGATTCACTAAATAAAGCTTTACCTTTTTATAAGATTTGTAAGCATTTAAGAATCGATTTTTAGAATAAATCTTTGGGGAAATTACGTTATTATGATTCATCACGAAATTAGATCAATGGATACTCCTTAAAATTATAATAGACACTGGGATCGTGTTTCTGGATCAACAATGAGATTTTTTTTATTATTAATACATATAAAAGCTTGAGTATATGTGGAAAGTTTCGAGAATAAATGATATAGTAGTAATGACTTATTCTCATAATACATAGTGACTTTTTTAAATGATACTGCGCTTTTATCAAGTATCAATTCACAGATAAAAAATTGATTAAGAAATATTAGCATACAAACACATCTCACACTCTTCTCAACATATACTAGATATGACATATAAATATATTGTGTTTAATGTGCCTTAACTTTATTAATTGTAAATAAAAAAAAATACATATTTTTGTTTATACTGCGGAATAATATTTAGTGCAACAATATCATTATGTAGCTACGATTGCGAACTTGAATTTATTGCTTTAAGAGTTACAGCTAAGACAATATTCTGTTCTATACCATTTGCTATGTAATCCATAATTCCCATGTTTTCCATTACAAATAGAACATGGTAAGCTTCACAGTTGAGGTGATGCAAAATTATAATTATCAATTTCTCTGAAACTATTTCAGAATTTCAGGTATGTGAAATGTTCTAAGACAGACTTGATAATTAATTCTAAATCGGGTTTGACTTCGAAAGTGATAGGCCTATTTTCTTCACATTGCTCAGAAAAAGATAAATAGGATGCTTTGTTTTCTGGTTTCAAATTTACGAGAAGGCTGACTTTTGATACATACATTTCTGATAATTGTCATAGATCATATTCAACTTCTTTTTATATTTTTTGTATAAGCTAGACTAAATCTTATCCGTCAAAATGCATAGTAAACCAGTTAATTTAGCAAGCCAATCTAGATACTCAGGGTTAATACTTTATTAGACTTGCTCATATTGCCTTTTTATATGATTACAGATCAATTTAAATTCCTGGATAGAAAGCTGTCTACTATTTCTTATCATATTTTCAAAAAATAATTAGATCATCTTTCGAAATATCTATGATATAAGAAAGGGTAATAAGACTATGCAGTTATCTCAATTTCGTGCTGTTCACATTTAATAAAGTAAGATCCAGATTTATATATACCTTCTATACTTTTTTCATCATTATGATCTAAACTGCATAATAGGCATGATGTCTCATCAGTAATGCCATAATAATCAAAATTTTCACTACTAAATTCTC